GGGCGGGGTGGTGACACTCCGTGTGGCACCGTCCTGAGGGGCGGCGGGAGGTGACACTCCGTGTGGCACCGTCCTGAGGGGCGGCGGGAGGTGACACTCCGTGTGGCAGCGTCCTGAGGGGCGGCAAGAGGTGGGACCCCGTGTGGCAGCGTCCTGAGGGGCAGCTGCCGGTGTCTGTCGGTGTCTGGCTGCCGTGCTCACCCTCTTAGCCTCCTCCACTTACGTCAGGCTGCTCTGAGTAGTATCAGCTCCTCTGTTCAATCCTGGTGAAGCTCCAGTGGGGAGGACTGCCACAAAAATGGAAGTTTGCCACTCTCCAAGCCCCAAGTTTTTGCTACTCTCCAAGCCCTCATTTGGGCTGTTATTCATACACGGGCACACTGCTTCTTTTCCTGGCTCTGGAGGTGCCAGTACAAAGGTCCAGGTAGTCAGCTCCTGATGCTGAATTCACTGCTGCTCACCTGTCCCTGCAATAGCTTTCCATTTGCAGGAGCACCATATGTGTTCATGTTGAGCCATTCTTTCACTGACAACAACTGATTAATACCAGTGGGCCTGTGGCAGAGCTGGTGAAGATCCTGGAGTGGTTTGGGTTGGAAAAAACCTTAAAGATCATCTAGTTCCAACCCCCCTGCATGGGCAGGGACACCTGTCACTAGATCAGGTTGCTCAAAGTCCCATCTACTCTGCCCTTGAATACTTCCAGGGAGGGGGCATCCACAACTTACCTGGGCGACCTCTTCCAGTGTCTCACCGCCCTCACACTAAAGAATTTCTTCCTAATGTCTAACCTAAATCTGCCCTCTCCCAATCTAGAGCCATTACCCTGTGTTTTTTTGCCACATGCACTTGTAAAAAGCCCCTCCCCAGCTTTCCTGTAGCCCCTCCAGGTACTGGAAGGCTGCTGTAAAGTCTCCCTGGAGTCTTCTTCCTTTTTCCAGGTAGAACAACCCCAACTCTCTCAGCCTGTCTTCACAGGAGAGGTGCTTCAGCCCTCTAATCATCTTTGTAGCTGTCCTCTGGACTTGCTCCATGAGCTCCATGTCCCTCTTATGGTGGGGGCTCCAGAGTTGGACACAGCACTCCAGGTGGGGTCTCACCAGAGCAGAGCAGAGGGGCAGAATCCCCTCCCTGGCCCTTCTGGCTACACTTCTTTTGATGCAGCCCAGGATGTGTTTGGCTCTCTGGGCTCCAGTGCACACTGGTGGCTCTTGTTGAGCTTCTCATCCACCATCACCCCCAAGCCCTTCTCCTTAGGGCTGCTCTCAATCTATTCTCCACCCAATCTATATTTGTGCTTGGGATTGCCCTGACCCAAGTGCAGGATCTTGCACTTGGCCTTATTGAACTTCATGAGGTTGGTATGGACCCACCTCTCAAGCCAGTCAGGGTCCCTCTGGATTGCATTCCTTAAGCATTGTCAACCACACCACAGAGCTTGGTGTCATCAACAAACTTCCTGAGGGTGCACTCAATGCCACTATTTATGTCATTGACAAATATGTTTAACAGTACTAGTCCCGGTACCAACCCTTGGCCTCCATTTGGACATCAAGCTGTTGACCACTACTCTTGGAGCCAATTCCTTATGCACCAAGTGGTCCATCTGTCAACTCCATATCTTTCCCATTTAGAGACCAGAATGTTTTGTGGGATAGTGTCAAATGCTTTGCACAAGTCCAGGTAGATTATGTCAGTTGCTCTTCCTTTATCCACCAACACTGTAACTCCATTGTAGAAGGCCACCAAATTTGTCAGGCATGATTTGCCCTTGGTGAAGCAAAGTTTGCTGCCACCAAACACCTCCATATTTTCCATGAGCCTTAGCAGAGCCTTCAGGAGGATCTGCTCCGTGATCTTGCTGGGCATAGAGGTGAGACTGACTGGCCTGTAGTTCCCTGAGTCTTCCTTTTTTCCCTTTTTGAAATGAGGGGTTATGTTTCCCCTTTTGCAGTCAGTGGGAATTTCACCAAACTGCTATGGCTTCTCAAAAATTATGGAAAGCAGCTTTGCAGCTTCATCCACCAGTTCCCTCAGGAGCCATGGATGGAGCTCATCAGGTTTCATGGGCTTGTGTACCTTCAGGTTCTTTAGATGATCTTAAACCTGCTCTTCTCCTACAGTGTGCAGATATTCCTTTTTCCAGTCCCTGCCTTTGCCTTCTGCAACTTGGGTAGTGTGACCAGAACCCTTGACTGCAAAGATTGATGCAAACAGGTCATTGAGTACCTCAGCCTTCTCCATATCCCACATGACCAGGTCTCCTGTTTCCTTCTGGAGAGGGCCCACATTTTCCCTAGTCTTCCTTTTACCACTGATGCACCTGTAGAAGCTTTTCTTATTTCCCTGGCCAGACTTATTTCTGTCTGAGCTTCAGCTTTCCTAACCTGATCCCTGGCTGCTCAGACAACTTCTCTGTACTCCTTAGAGGCTACCTGTCTGTTGTGGTCCAGGCCCAGCCAGTAACAAAACCATGTGTCACACCTCCCTCCCCCCACTGTGGGATGGGGAGGAGAAAATCCGATTAAAAGCCTGTGGGGTCAAGACAAGGACAGGGAGGGTTCGCTCACAAGTTATGGTCACAGGTTACTGTCCCTTATGATAGTGGCCAGATTGAGTTCCAGCTAGGCTTTTGCTTTCCTCATTTTCTCTCTGTATGACCTCACAGGATCCCTGTACTGTGCCTGACTTGCCAGCCATTTGCTCCAAAGGTGGTAAACTCCTTTTTTTCCTGAGTCCCAGAAAAGCTCCCTTTTCAACCAGGCTGGTCATCTTCCCTGCCCGTTCATTTTATGATACATGGGGACAGCTTGCTCTTGCACCTTTAAGACTTCCTTCTTGAAGAGGGCCCAGCCTTCCTGAACCACTTTGTCCTCCAGGACTGTCTCCCAAGGGACTGACTCTCTCAACCAATGTCCTAAAAAGGCCAAAGTCTGCCCTCTGGAAGCCCATGGTGGAGGATTTGGTGACCCTCCTCCTTAATTGAGAATCGAGAAGTTTACCATTTCACGGTCGCTAAGCCCAAGACAGCCTCTGACCACCACATCTCCCATCACTCTTTCTCTGTTAGTGAACAGCAGGTCTAACAAGGCACCTCCCTGGTAGGCTCTTCGTTGCCCATGCTGTGTGCATTGATGTAGATGCCCTTGGGCTGGGCTATTGATTTCACCCCCATCACTTCACCCCTAGACTCATCTGTAGTAGGCCTAATTTTATACCTTTCCCCCTTCAAACCTGATTTTCCTCACAGTCTTCCCTTAGTCCAGTGTGGAGTCCTTCCCATGGGAGAAGGTCCTTCATGAACCCCTCTGACATGTGTCGCTCCCACAAGGTGCAGTCTCTCAGGAACAGACTGCTCCAGTGTGGGCTTCCCACAGAGTCACAGCCTACTTCAGGTGCACTCACCTCCCCTGGTGCAGGGTCTTCCGTGGCTGCAGGTCCACACCTGCTCCACCATGCTCTTTCACAGACTGCCCCACCACACTCCTCCATTGGTTGCAGGGGGACAGCCTGCTGTCTCACCACAAGCTGCAGGGGAACCTCTGCTCGGGCACCTCCTCTCCCTCCTTAGTCACTGACCTTGGTATCTCTGCTCTGGGGTTGCTCTCTTCTGAAGAAGCTTTCAGCAGCTTCTCACAGGAGGCACCCTGGGGCCTCTCCCCTGCTATCACACCAACCCAACACAGTGTCCTTGCTTCCACCTTCTGTAAACTCTGGTTTTAAATGTAAATGTGTCCAGGAGCTCCTTGTTCATCCATAACAGCCTCCTGGCATTATTGTCTACCTTCCTCTTTGTTGGGATGTACTGCTCCTGGGCTTGGAGGAGGTGATCACTGAATACTGACCAGCTCACCTCCTCTCAATATTTGACTCCTCTCCCCTCCAGGGCTTTATCCCATGCCACCCTACAAAGCAGGTCCCTGAAGAGGCCAAAGTCTGCTCTCCTGAAGTCCAGGGTAGCAAGCTTGCTGCAGACCCTCCTTGTTTCCCTAAGGATCTTGAATTCCACCATTTTGTGGTCACTGCAGCCAAGGCTGCCCTTGAGCTTCATATTATCTACCAGCTCTTCCTTGTTGGTAAGAACTTGCTGTGAGCAGGAGAGGAGAACTTGTGTTTTCCAAGTCGTCTGCCCAGGTTCCAGTGCTCAGCAGTCTGGACAGCTCCTTGCAAAAGGGGATGGGTCAGCAACAGGTTAATGTGAAAGCAAATTGTATCTTTGGCTTCAGCTCCCCTTTAACCTTTTACTCTCAGGCCTGCAAAATCTGAAGCTGACAAGTGGCAGGACACAGGCTGCTTTCTGCTGTGAAAGTTCCCTTGGAGGTTTGCCCTTTGGGCTCCCATATCCAAGAAAATTCCATCAGTGGCAGAACTGGAGTTCCCAGACTAGGCAGCACTGCTGGTAGGCTCACCCTTTTGCCTGCAGTTTCTGGTTGAGGAGGCTATGAGGAATATTACTTTTATTTTCTAAAGCCAAATAACTTGTTTAGCAGTGTTCTAGAAAAATGTGCTTTGCTTCAAGTGCCTGCAAAAACATGCAGATAATTACAGTTTGAGAGAATATCTTCTCTTGTCATATGGAAAAATGAATCATGTGATGTGTGCCTGGACATCTGCAATGTGATAAATTCATCTTAATAACAAAGGGCTATTTTTTTCCCTTCTTCAGCTAGAAAACATGAGTTCAGCAGTGAGAAAAAGAGGAAAGCCCAACAGAGGAGGAGGAAGAGGAAGAGGAGGAGGAGGAGGAAGAGGGAGAGGAGGCAGTGGAAGAGGAGGAAGCAGCAGTGGCCGTTCAAACAAGTCTCAACTTGGTGGAAATAGGAAGTGTGCAACCAAAATTTGGGATGATGGAGATGATTTTTGTCTCTTCGAGGAACCAAGGCTGGAATCCAGGTCTTTTCATTAATCTGGGGGGTTGTTTGACATAGAGATATTTGGAATGTTTTGGGCCTCAGTTTTGGACATCTTTGAATATACAGAAGAGTGAAGATTAAACAAAATATTAGAACCTCTGTTTTTCTTCTTTGGTCATAAAGTAATGTCAGAATGCCTTTAATCAAAAACCACTAATAAACAGAGGATGTTAATTGTTGGGTATTACAAAGCAGAAGCTGGGCCATGGAAAACATGCAATTTAGGATGAACTTAGTATTCTTGACCACCTTGATGTATTCTGACAACTCTAGCTTAGAAATACATGGTTGTACTGCAGCCTGGGAACAGCTATGCTTAGCAAAGCCTTTATTAAACTTTGGATTTGATGCAGAATAAAAGAAATATATGCATGTGTGTGTGTGCAGATAGAGGCACACATCCTGCTCATGTAAGAATGAACCCAGCTGAATAATCCTCAAGTCATGGACTTGTCTTGTTTTGGTTTTCTTGTTTTGAATTACAGGGTTGGGTCCTAACACATCCCAATTCAGTCCAAATCTTTTGAGCCAGGCAAATAAGTCCTTGTTATGTTCTATTTCAATTTTTAGATCAAATGCCTCTGCTAGAAGAGGAGGGCAAGCAAAACAGAGACCTGAAGCGAGAATGCCTCTGCAGACCATACACATGACATCAGAGAATCAGAGAAGAGTGAAGGAACTTCTTCAAGAGCTTCAAGCGCAGGACCTGGCTCCTGAATCAGAGTTAGTTTAAATGGGGCACGACTTCTAGGTCTGCTAGATGAACACACTTTAACAGGCACACTGTTAGAAATGAAAACAGTATTCTTTTTTTTTCCTTTAACTTTTAATTTTATCTCAAATCCTGTGGTTTTGAGTCTGCCTTGTTTTTCTACAATCTCAACTCTGGGAAGCGTGTAGCAAAATCCTCCATTTAAATGGAGGATTTAAAAATGCAGAAGCAGAGTTTTGCATCTACTCAATTTAATCTGATAACTCTTTTTATCAGAGTAGCTGGTTCTGATGAAGATGAGGATGAACCTGATTACCTTGATGATGAACAGTGCTGGTCAACAGATCAAGAAGTTTCTGACGTAATACCAAGGTTGCCTGCTGAGCAGAGAATTGTGGAAAATGAAGTGTCTTCATTTGCTGTACACAAACTCTCCAGGTGATGCTTTTCAGTGAATAATTTGTATCCTGAAGAGTTAAATTCTGTAAGCCCTCAGTGCATAGACCTCCTCTTGACTTCACGGAAGTTCTGTGTGCAGAACTGATGAGTTTGTATCTCCTACAAATTTGATCCTCAACTTAGCTGTGTTTAAAATAATTGTTTTATGAAAACAAATCACACCAGCCTTTTCTAGTGAAATTTTCAGTTCTTTCTCCAAGACAACGAAACAGATCTTGGAAAGCTCAGGGAGCATTGCTGTTATATATTTTTTTTTTCCAGGTAGCTAATATTTCAAAACCTTGTAAGTGTTCATCCATTTTGCTCAAATGTGAGCATTTATTAATTATTTCTGCTTCATTTAAGAGTTTTTTATATGTAAAAGGATTCAACTTTTTCTAGAGTTGTATTTGTATAGTTCAACAGAGAAATCTAATCCTGTAACTATTATGTGCTACATTCTGAGGCATGAGGTAGTTGTCACATAAATTAATTACACCAAATTACTGCCTGTCATTGTCATTTAAAATAGCATATGTATTTTGGTGTGGAGTTTTTTTCCCCCCCATATGGTAGTAATAGTATCTCATGCCATACGTGCTTGCTTACTGGAAGCCTCATCAAGCAGATCTGTGGTTATTTTGCTTCATACAAGTCTCTGTTTTGCAGGTATGGTTTTGACAGTGAGCGTTGTCGGGCAGTCCTGAGATCCTGCAATGGTAATATTGGGGCATCGTTGGAGTATTTGCTGTTGCAGTGCTTTGCTGAAAGATATGGAGAGAAGATGCAGGTTTCTGCAACAGCTGCTGAAGCCAGTCAAGAAGAATATTTGGAACAGAGACAAGAAGAGGCTTTTGCCCTCCGGGCAATCTATGGAGAAAAATTTGTAGAAAGAATTCAAAACCGCGTTTGGACTTTTGGTTTGGAATTGCAGTACCTGGCAAACGGGCTCAGCAAATCTAAACAAAAGGACAGTTGTACTAGGGAAGCAGCTAAGCAGACTTCAAAGGAAATATGTAAATTTCATCTCCAAGGAGGCTGCAGATTTGGTTCAAAATGCAGATTCAAACATGAATTCCCTCCAAACCACCCAATAAAACCAGCCAGGAACTCTGTAGATGATACTCATCTGAGACTTAACAGTGATCGTCCTGTATATGAACTTGAAGTAAGATTTCCTGAAGAAAACAAGTATCCACTCCAAGCACCTCTTGTGGCATTTTACTCCACTGACGAGAATCTACCTCTTGCTTGTCGTTTACACATTGCTGAATTACTCTTTGGAAAGGCCTTAGCAGCTGCAGAATCTAATGAACCAGTGGTGTACACCTTAGTGACTTGCTTAGAAGACGAATCTGAAATAAGGGAGTTACTTAAAAATACTCATCACAAGTACAGTGTTCCTCCTGTGTCCCTGCTGGCAACACCATCTGTAAAGCTACAAACAAAGAGTGCATCTAGCTCAAGTCAAGTGTCTGAAGGTACACCACATTTCCCTCTATGATTTCTGAGTTAAAAACAGTCAAAAAGATTTAAAAAAAAGAGAGAGAGAAGGCAGAGAGCCCAGCTCTGGCATCTGTTCCAAATCTATTTCTTGAGATATGGTGAGCCAGATCCATAATCTGTCTGTGCCTCACAAAGTCCCTTCCATAATAAAGCCGCAGCAGAGAGGTTTTCTGCTGACAAGGACTGTGTTAAAGGAGCACAGAGCTAATGAGTTTGAGTTGGCAAAGTGAACAATGGCTATTCCCCCACAATCAATAACAAGCCATTGAGAAACAGTGTGAGCTCACCAGAATTGACCAGAGAAGTATGATTGGAAGGGAACAGAGAAGCTTGTTTGAAATCTATGTTACATCTGCTACTAATCAAGTCAAAAACATCTTTAATTACTTAAAATTGCCAACCCCTCCTCAAAATAAGTTTTGTAAAGTTGGATTTAAGGCTAAGTGAAGGTTGTAAGAATGTTCAAGGTATCATCCCTATTTTTTTTGCATGCAAGTGCAACTAGGTTGATTTCACAGGGGGAGCATTGGGACTGCCAGTACAGCAGGGTAACAGCAACTCTGTGGCATAGATGACCTTCAACTTCTCCATTCCCAAACTGTTTTATCTAAGACAAACTTTGTTCAAGAGAGTTTTCAAGAACAACTGCATCATGTTTTAGAGCACCTAAATAGTGACAGCCTATTTTTTTTTCAGTATAACCAATTATTCAGTTTTTTTAACAGCTCCACAGAAAGACCCCTTTATTCCAGAAGCTGAATCAGAGATTCCAAGTAATCTTCCTTATGTTATAAAATACTATGTTCAGATAAATGAAGCCTTAGAACTTTCAAGGACTGGCTTACTCTCTTACTACTTAAGCAGGAGGCACCAAAGTACCTGGTCCAGTTTCAGCCTTGGTTGAAAAGCACTTGGCAGTGGCTTAACACTTGGTGTTACAGTGTAATTTTATTTAATTTAAGCTGGTGCTGCCATCACAGTGTTGTGTGCCACGAAAGTGGTTGTGTGGTAAACTGGAGAGGGGAGCTGAGACACACACACGTGAACAGCTTTCAGGAAGGCAAAGCAGTTCTGAGTCTGATTGACTGGATGGCCAGTCAGAGACTATGGTGTTGCAGAGCACAGCTGGTGCAGGTGTAGTGACAGGTGGGCTTGAGCTGGAGAAGTTGTGGTTTGTTTGATGGGGTATGGGGAGGGTTGCTGGTGTTGAACTAAATGCTTATCAAAAGCAGTCCTGCACACCCTCAGCTCCAGTCTAACAAGATTCTTTGATAAGAATGCTCCTGGAACATGTTTCTCTTTTCTACAGTGCTGATGAGGTCCTGTTCCTTAGTAACAAATTACCTAAATTGTACATATTTTCTCTCAAGCCTCAATAGTGTCAGAGCCTCAGGAAGAAGAGGAGGAGGCAGGAGAGGAGGAAGAAGATGAGCCTGAACAAGTTGTCGTGGAGAATGAGAGTTATGTGAACTTCAGGAAAAAGCTTTCCAAAAAGTATGATGTGCAGGCAAAGTCTCTGTATAACGAAAATGTTAAAATCTGCACGCGATTTCGTCTGAAAAAGGTATAACGTACAGAACTGAATGTCTGTTTTTATGCTTTAGATAAATGCTTAAGCCACAGGCTGCTATTTCAAACGGTTCTGTTCCACTCCAGTGGTGTTCTTACTGTCATGCTGTCTGGTTTTGTGCATCAGTCTTCTAGGCACTTCCAGTCTATGTTGTATGAAAGACAGAAGCTCCCTGCGTGGCAAGAGAGAGAAACCATTCTTGATTTACTGAGGAGCCACCAAGTTCTTGTTGTGAGCGGCATGACAGGGTAAGACTGTGATTGCATATACAGACTTCAAGTATCAAAGTATACACAGAAGACTGTGAAGTATGTATCCATGTCCTGAAAAGGTTAGGGTTGTGGGTCTATCTGTGACCAGTGACAGCAGTCCTAGGTGAACTTCACGTGAAGGAGAACACTAACCAAACAAAGCACATTTCAAGTGGAATGCAGTCATCTTGTTTTATGCAGATGGAAGGTGTTTGCTTTGTGGGATTTTTTTAATTAATCCCTGATTTTGTCCTTCAGATGTGGGAAAACCACTCAGATTCCTCAGTTTATTTTGGATGCCTCATTGCAAGGATCTCCAAGCGGAGTTGCAAACATCATCTGCACGCAGCCTCGCAGGATCTCTGCCATTTCTGTGGCTGAACGTGTAGCCAAAGAAAGGACAGAAAGGATTGGACTCACTGTTGGGTATCAGATCCGTCTAGAAAGTGTAAAGGTGCATATACTTTGCTTGTTGGTTGTTGTTTAGTTCTATTAAAATGTGCTTAGTCCAGCATACAGCATCTTGGCCCTTTATCTGCCATATAGTGAGATAAGCAAGCCCAGATCACCTGTATTTTATATTATATTATGAAATATGTTCTAAATTTTATTTCTTCTCAGGATGCACAGTCCACTTTACAGACTAAGCATGCAGTACTACATCTTCTATTGTTGTTTTGCTTTCTGTTGAGAAACAAGAAGGGGTCTGAGAGTATACTGTATAGAACTTCTGTCATCTGGAAGGCTGCTGACTAGTCTCCATTTCCATTTGTTTCCCAAGCGGAGATACAAGGATAGAGCTTCAGTCAGCCAGAAAGGGGGGTTTGAATTCAAATTGCTGTCTTGGAAATGAAATTTTGTTTATATTGCAGTTGATTGCTTTTCCCAAGAACTATGTTAAAGAGATTCAGTAAATCTTCCTAGGGCCAGAGATCTGGGTTGTTTATCAGAAAGCAACTTCCACAGGAAAAACAGTACAGCTTTTTCTTTACCCCTTACAGTTAGAAAGCCCTGTAGTAAGAAGCAGATTGTCTTAAGTTTTAACGAAGAAAGAAAAATCATTCAGCCTATCTTGAGCAGGAATTGCCTGTTCCCTTTCTGTCAAACCTGGCACTCAGCTGAAAGCAAATGCTTTACAGCAACACATGTTCTCTTTGCACAATGTTAAGTTGCACAAAATCAACTGAATGCTTTGTCTTACCATTCAAGTCCTCAGCTACCAGGCTCTTGTACTGCACTACTGGTGTGCTGTTGAGAAGACTGGAAGGAGATATGACTTTGCAGGGAATCACACATGTTATTGTTGATGAAGTTCACGAAAGAACAGAAGAAAGGTAAATAATCTCCTATCCCAGATGCAAAATGAAGAAACCTAATCAGAAGGATAAAGGTGACTAAGATGCAAGTAACTGAAGTCAGAGTTGTTGATCCTGTGGCAGTAACATGGGATGGTGGAAGGAGTCTGGTTTTGGGTTCTTGTCTTTGGGTAGTAGGAAGCTGTGTTGCAGCAGCTTGCAAAGGAAGCACATCTCTCTTAAATGTCTGTGCCTCCCATCTGCCATCACATTGCAGTGGTTTTGAAAAGAGGTTTTGGATGTAGCTGGAAGGTTAAGTAACTTTTTAATGATAGTTGTCTGGTTCTTATTCTTCCCTTATTTCAGCTTTTACCAAATACTCCAGATTTTCCTATGCCCTCCTGGAAATTGTTTCTACTGGTGCAGGTAGCAGAGACTTGCAAGGGACAAGTGCCACATTTTCTTTCAGTCTATAGATTGTACTAGTTCTGGACAGTCTTATCCTATCCTGCTCCAGCCTCCTGTGGTCTTACTCCACTTACCTGCTGATGCCAGGCAAAAGATGATGTCAATATCTCTGTAAACTAGAGTGGCAAGGATCCTTTTCTTTGATGCTTTCTGTGTGAAACACTGCAATGCAGTGAGTTTCCAGGCTATGTCTGTGACCCATTATTCTATATCTAAGATGATATTTTAGCCTCATAAAAGGGCTTGTAGCTCTCAAAGATTCTTCTTCCTTCTCATCTAAAATCACTTCAAGCCAGTCTTCTAGGCATACCACAAAAGCTAGAAATATGCAGGGTGAGCTGGGAAGAGTGGGCAAGCTTGAATAACTCTTCCAGTAAGGAAGAGGAGCCAAAAGGACTCATCTGTTAATATGAATTGTTTTCTAATGTTCTTGTTAATGTTTATGTTAATGTAATTTATTTAATATGTAGCCAAAGCATTTTGTTGCTTAAATTAATTTGCCAAGTCATCCTGACACTAGTAAGAGAAAACAAAAGAGTTAGCAGATAGCCTTCCATTGGTTCACTGCATGATTAGCCCCCAGCCATTCTGAGGTGTTCGTGCTTCCGTGTTGGTATCTCTGTGCTTTGAAAACACCAGGAAGGTGGGACAGAATGGGGAGAAAAAAAAAAAAAAGGACCCGGAAAATATAAGGAAGAGGAGCCAAAAGGACTCATCTGTTAATATGAATTGTTTTCTAATGTTCTTGTTAATGTTTATGTTAATGTAATTTATTTAATATGTAGCCAAAGCATTTTGTTGCTTAAATTAATTTGCCAAGTCATCCTGACACTAGTAAGAGAAAACAAAAGAGTTAGCAGATAGCCTTCCATTGGTTCACTGCATGATTAGCCCCCAGCCATTCTGAGGTGTTCGTGCTTCCGTGTTGGTATCTCTGTGCTTTGAAAACACCAGGAAGGTGGGACAGAATGGGGGGAAAAAAAAAAAAAAGGACTCTGAAAATTAACACTGAGGAAATTCAAATGTCTTATTGCTTGTTTTCTTCAGTGACTTCTTGCTGCTGGTTTTGAAGGATGTAATGGTTCAGAGGCCAGATCTGCGCATTATACTCATGAGTGCCACCTTGAATGCAGAGCTTTTTTCTCAATATTTTCACTCCTGTCCAATTATTAACATACCAGGTGAGAACTATTAATTTTTATTTTCTTGTCACATTGATTGTTTTAGGGGGTTCTTTTCAGTAATTCTCCCTAGCAAAGTGTTTGTCAATTCAAGTGCAAGGGGCTAATTTGCAAAGTGGCAAGATGAGGATTTATACAAGAACTAGGATTCTTAGCAGGAAAGACTAGTGAGATGTAGGAGAGAAAAACAGCCTTTTTTTGGTGCTGTCTGTATGCCAGCAGGATTCCCCAAAAGACAAAAATGACACAGTGTGTATGACATAGTTTCCTGAGGTAGTTTCACTAGAGCTGAAGACTCTTCTGTATCCTTGTGAAAAAGAAGCAGTGAGAGAATCCAGCTGGATATGGGTGCATTTAGCCAAATGTGCCTTCTATATTGCTAAGTTACTACTTGGAGAATGACAGAAACACGTAGCCTTGTGGATATGTTCCCATAAGTGTACAGCCCTGCTCTGACCAAGTATTACCAAACCATACTAGGAAAACATCCACTGTTTGTCCTAGACAGAAACTGTGTTGAAGAGTGCAGTATAGATGACAGCTGTGAAGTCAGTGTGTGACATAATAACCATCTCCTGTCTTTTTCCTCTTTTCTGTGTGTTGTGTGGCATGTAGATTTATTCTTATGTTTTCTTTTAGGTCGAACATTTCCTGTGGATCAGTTTTTTCTGGAAGATGTGATTGCAATGACAAGGTATGAAATTGCCAAACATTCTCAGATGTATTTGGCCTTTGAGGCTGCACTACTGACCTTGAGGCTGCAGTGATTCTGTGCATAAATTTGAAAACTGAGTCCTCTCAAAGCTTCCTCATCACATGCAGTCTTGGAGTTCTACTAAAGTTCTGACTTGAAACCAGAACTTCTTATACTGCAGTCAGCTGCAGGATCTCATGCCAAAACAAGCCTTTCTGCATTAGATACCACATAGATACTCAAGGAAAGGTAAAATTTACCTTGAAGAGCTTGTCAGTGCTTGTGCTTTACCTGTTTCAGTGTTGGTTAGACATTGGCAAACAAAAGAAATCTGAAGGTAGACTTCAGCACTGCAGGTATAAAAAGGAAGGACACTAAACAGTTTATTTTTGTAAGCCCTACCTTGCAGCCTCAGTACCAAATTCCTCTTACCATTCATAGTTAGAGAGTCACAACTTGTTGCTCTGAGCTGCCCACTTAGCTGTCAAGTTGGCACTCCTAGTCTTTAGCATCACAGCTTTTAAAAGACATTAGTCATCCCAGTATGGAACGACACCTTGACCTTGATGCTGCCTATGGTTTTGCAACCCTACTTAATACAAAGTTCCTCTCAGATTTATATGTAAATAATTTTGATACCCTATCTGTGTAGCTAATTCTTAGAAAGAGACTGTTTCTGTAGGCTTCTTTCCACACTGCTAAATGTTCTGCTGCTGTTCAGGTATGTTTTAGAGGACAGTAGTCCCTACAGGCGCAAGACAAAGCAAGAAAACAAACAGAATGGAAGACACAAAAGAACTGCATTTGAAGAAGTAGAGGAGGACCTGAGACGTGCTGGCATTCTGGAAGGCACTGACACAGTTGTCAGAGATTCAGACCCAGACCAAAAATTAACCCTGAAGCAGCTCCTTGCACGATATAAAGGTCAGCTCTTTCTTAAATCTAATAAGCTGGCATATAACATTTGCCAGCCAACATGGTATGTTAGTAAATAATATTGTACGTTGAATGCATGTATGTAATTCAGAGTTTTGTACTAATGAAGTTACTGCTTCTAGATGAGATCGGAACAAACATCTTGGTTGAAAACAGATTAGCATCTGAAAATGGACAGTTTTCAGCTACTATTGTGCTTCCTTCCCTTTTCAGATGCCTTGTTAATTCCACTTTCTTCTCTATATCTCTTGTTGCTGGAGCAGCTTTACTTAAAGCACAGCATGTATCTGCCCACTTCAAGGGTGGGCATGCTGAGGTCACTTCAACATGACAAACCCTCCTTGAGAATTCAGAATTCACTCTATGAATGGCTGAAAAAGAGATGCAGACCTTTCCATGAACTTCCCACTATGTCATAATCAAAATCCTTCTTGTGTTTAGTCTTGAAGAGTTCCTCCCTTCACACTGTTTTGGTGAGCTCCCCAGTGGTATGTAGTGAGATCCATTGCTTAATAGCTTCAGATTCCAGCTAAACACTTACAATCCTGGAAGAGTAAGGGAATCCAGGTGTCTTTTGCATTGAGCTTGAGAAGGTAGTCATGGAGGTAAGTGGCCATATGAAGGTTTTCAGCTCCTCACCACTAGTAGGTGTGCGTGTTTTTCTGCTAGTAGATGGAACCTGGTCTAGCTCATGTATGGGGCAGATGTGAGCCCCTAGTATGACATTGGAAAGGAAGGAAAGAGTTGAAACAGAGGAAAGCATGGAAGGGGAAATGTGAAGCATTGAGTCACTTGCACATCTACATCTGTCTGGTCTAAGCCAGATGCTTTGTAAACCAAGGTGTGGTTGGGTGTGCAGCCACACTGGGTCAGTGCATCCAGCAGATGTTTTTTTTTACAAGAGATGGACTTACTCTGTGTTTTTATTTCCTTTTCCCAAGGGGTTGACAAGGCAGTGTTGAAAACTATGTCAGTCATGGACTTGGACAAAGTTAATCTGGAATTAATTGAAGCCTTGCTAGAGTGGATAGTTGCTGGCAGACATTCATACCCCCCAGGTAATTTCATTGTCCTTGAGAGATACACAAAAGTAGATTTGTGGAGGCTGTGCACTTAACTGACAGCCCAAAGCTAATGTTTTGCATGCAGAGTTTCTGTAGTTACTATTTTTGAGGAAAGAAAAAAAAGTTCTAGCTGAGTGACACAGTCCCTGATATACATGGGATGGGGAAGGTGAGAGAATTGTCTACTTTGCAAAGTTTTTGGTGAGGGGGGACTGTTGCATCCTGTGTGGTTTTTGTACAATAATTGCAAAACAGAGATTGAGTTTTTGACTTGAGCCTTCTGCACATTGATAAAATATCATGCTGTCCTTTCTGTTGAATGATTTTTTAACTATTTTTTTTAATCTACATCTGTATAGGTGCTGTGTTGATATTTTTGCCTGGTCTAGCAGAAATCAAGATGCTTTATGAGCAGCTCCAGTCTAATGCTCTTTTTAATAACAGGCATAGCAAGAGGTAAGACAGAAAAGCTCCAAAATATCAGTCTTTACCCATAAATAAAGAATAGCTTCCTGTACAAAGCCTGCCCTTATCCAGGGATAAATAAAGGTTATTAAATATTTGAGACAGCTTGTGATATGAAGGTCTTGACTGCAGGCAGGGTAATTCCTTTTCTACTACATTAATGGCTTGCTCTTTTCATGGTTTATTTTTTTTTCTCCTCAACTCAGGAAGGTTAGGTGTTGTTCTTGCAGACCCTAGTGATGTTTTCCATTTTGTGCTCTTCATGACCCAGTAGACTGTTGAAAACTTCACCTCAGCCCTTGTTCTGTTTCAGAGTATTTCCTGAGATGCATTCAGTTGTGGTTGCATTTGGCCTTAGATTGTTACATGGAGATGTAATTTGATCTCCTTGACTAGAGAGTTTTTACATAAATGTCCACGGGAAGGACAGCTGGAGTGATTTCTTCCAGTCTGGCATTATAAATGTCAGATTCTAGGCTCTTCAAAAGAGGCAGAATTTCTGCTCAACTCTATTCTGAGACCTGTCCGTTCTGTAAATTTCTCCACCTTCCCATAGAACATGTATCAAAAATAGTGTGGTCAGCAGGACTATGGAAGTGATTGTTCTTTTGTACTCAGCACTGGTGAGGCTGCACCTTGGTTAATGTAGTCTCTCACTACAAGAAAGACATTGAGGTGCTGGAATGCCACAAAAATGATGAGGGGAGTGGAACATCTCCCTGATGAGGAAAGGCTGGGGGAGCTGGGTCTCTTTAGCTTGGAGGAGACTGAGGGGCGACCTCATCAATGTTTACACATTTGTAAAGGGTGAGTGTCTGAAGGATGGAGCCAGGCTTTTTGCAGTGATGTCCAGTGATAGGACAAGGGGCAATGGGTGCAAACTGGAACATAAAAGGTTCCATGTGAATATCAGGAAAAACTTCTTTCCTGTGAGAGTGACAGAGTACTGAACAGGCTGCCCAGAGAGGCTGTGGAGTCTCCTTCTCTGGAGACATTCAAACCCCGCCTGGACACGTTCCTGTGTGATGTGCTCTGGGTGACCCTGCTCTGGCAGGGGGGTTGGACTGGATGATCTTTCGAGGTCTCTTCCAACCCCTAGGATTCTGTGATCCTGTGATTCTGTGAATGCATCCAAAGAAGAGTAGCAAACTGGTGAAGATGAAGAGTCTAGAAAACAAGTCTAGTGAGGAGCATCTGCTGGGACTGGGGTTGTTTACTCTGGAGAAAAGGAGGCTGAGGGGAGACCTTATTGCTCTTTTCAACTGCCTGAAAGAAGGTTGTAATGAGGTGGGGGTTGGTCTCTTCTCCCAGGTGAATAAGGTGATATATGAGAGAGGTTTATATTGCTTCGAGTGGCTGTGGGCAATGTCTATTACTATTGGGGCAAAAGTGTGTACAGGCAGATTGTTCCCAACAGAGAAAAGGCTGGAGATGCACTGAGTATGCTGTCATATTGTACTTCTAGGTGTGTTGTTTATCCGCTTCATTCTTCACTGTCAAGTGAAGAACAGCAGTCTGTGTTCCTCAGGCCTCCCGTTGGAGTTATCAAAATCATCATCTCTACAAATATTGCAGAAACATCTGTCACTATTGATGATGTGGTCTATGTGATTGATTCTGGAAAAATGAAAGAGAAAAGGTACTGCAATTCGTTCTTTGTGATCTGGGAAACTGCTCTGTGCCTTGAGCTACATGTTTTAGCTTTCCAAAATGCTGGGAAAAACTTGAAGGAACTTTATCTGCAGAAAGCTGCTGCAAGGTGGAGGAAGCTAGTCAAGAATAAGACCCATCTGCAGGGGTGGGAATACAGAAGTTGGCAGCATCTGGCTGTTTGACCTCCAGCCTGTTCGCTCTGCACTGACTATGACTCTTTCTCGTTCTCCTGTAGATACGACCCAAGCAAAGGAATGGAAAGTCTGGAAGATACATTTGTGTCCAAGGCCAATGCTCTGCAAAGGAAAGGGCGAGCAGGCCGTGTAGCCTCAGGTGTCTGCTTTCATCTTTTCAGTAGCCATCACTATAACAATCATCTTATTAAACAGCAGTTACCAGAAATACAAAGAGTACCCTTGGAGCAGCTTTGTCTAAGGTGAGCTGTTGTTTCTGTATTGCCTGAATTAGCCAGAATGTCCTTCCTGCATTGTAGGGAGCACCTGGAAGACCAGGTAGCTTCCTCAGTATTTTCTCACATAGTGAAACCAAGGAAATTGCTCTGGAGATCTAAGGCTCTTCTGGCTGGCTACTTTGTTCTTACTTCCACGTTGCTTCTGCACCCCAAGCCCGCCCTCCCCCAGCCCTCCAACAGTTCTGCCTATCTTACCCATTCCTTAGCTCTCACCTGATCCCAGGAAAAAGCATCTCTTAGATAACCAGAGAAGACAGTTGTATTCCTGTACTCCAGATCGAGATGTTTGTTCCTTTACGCTCTAAACGCTCCTGTGGTGTTTCTGAGCAGCATAATGCAGTAAAGCCACAACCTGAACCAAGTACTGCCATTAGGCAAGTACTAAATGAAGAGACCCCCCTATCCCTGCTGCACGCTCTGCAGCCCTTTGTACAAAAGGGAAACATAACTTTTTTTTTTTACTTTTTTTTTTACAGTAGAAACTGTATTTTATGCTAAATAGGAATCGGTTCATATGGACTCTGAGGTGGGATGAAGTACACTTCCCCCCACTTCCTACACTGCTTCCTGACAAAGTGTGTGTTACAGGCCCTCTTCTAGCAAGAGTATTCTTAGAAACGTTTTCTGTTGTGTTTTTGTTTTGCTTTGTTTTGATTTTATAAAAGCTTGCTTTTTTATCCTGTGTATGGAGCTAACTTTCCTTTCCTTCCTTTCTCCCTTCCTGCCATCCTGCCTTCCTTTTTCATCCCTCCTTAAGGATTAAGATGCTGGAGATGTTTTCTGCACAGAGCCTTCACTTTGTCTTATCACGGCTGATTGAGCCCCCTAGAACTGAGTCGTTGCGGGCATCAAAGCTGCGACTTCAAGACTTGGGAGCATTATCTGCAGATGAAGAGCTCACCCCTCTGGGATATCACTTGGCTTCTCTGCCTGTTGATGTCAGGATTGGCAAGCTAATGCTGTTTGGCACCATCTTTCGCTGTCTGGATCCTGCACTAACTATAGCAGCCAGTCTGGCCTTTAAGTCACCTTTTGTAAGTATTCTTAACCATGTATCCCTCCTTGCAAACAGGGTGTTTTCATGCAGCAGCAAAACACTGTTGGTAGCTTGCAGCATACTACACTGGAGTAATTTTAATTCTCCTTTTTAGCCTACATTATTGACATGTTAATGAGTGATCATTTTAAAAGCCCAGTTATAAAAAAACCATGCAGCAGCAATTACGTTATTTACATTCTGAGTGAACAGCAGAAACAGAGTGGATATTCATTTTAATTTGAACTAACAAGTACAGCCAGTCCTTTTGGACCAAATTTGGTGTAAAAATTGAATCAAGAATGGTAATATAAGAAGCAATTAGAAATAATTACAAAACAGTGATAAGGATGAAGTTAACATGTCTGAGCTGTGAATGCAGGGTTCATTTTGCATTTTGGTTTGTGTTCACTTTCAGTTCAGCTTTTTGAACCAGCTGCTTTACTTACAGGTGGTCTTACTGTTCTTAAGCTTTTAGTGCAATGTAGAAACTTCAAACTTGCACGAAAAGTCAGACTTTCTTGAAGTTTTGATTACTATTGCTAGATAGTCTGTATTGAGGATAGTTGTGAAAGAATTGGAAAAATATTGCTCTAGTTATTAAGTTGCACGTTGTTGTCCATATACCTATTTTGACTTCAGGCAGTGCAAGCTTCTATCTGCTGATACAGAAGGACTTGAATTCAGCTTTTTGAATGTCCTGAATTACTATCACCTTCTCTCTCTCAGACCAAAGCAGATTTTAGACTTGCTGTGCTCTTCTTTATTATAAGCATTCTCATTTGAGCTTCAGCTCCATTAATTTGGTAAGACTTGTCAGATGGATCTTGGCATTCTGCACCTGCAGAGGTCTGCCCAAAGTGAAGTATTTTCTGTGAGCTGGTCAATCATGAATTTGCCAATGGATCTCTTGTGATTAGATAAGAAAATGGGCTTAGGTGCTCTGCTGGTGAGAAGGCATTTTTGAATGCCTCATACTTTCTGTTATCCATGGAGAAAAATTGCATTCTTACTGGTGAGCTGCTTTGAAAATAGCAAAGATTATGTGCCATGCAGCTCTCACAATGGCTTTTCTAAGTTGTCAGGGGAAGAACATGCTTAATCTGTTAGTGCCTGTCTAGGTGTCACCATGGGATAAAAGGGAAGAAGCAAACAAAAAGAAGTTGGAGTTTGCAATAGGAAACAGCGACTATCTGGCTCTTCTCCAGGCCTATAAGGTGAGCTAAAACGCAGTAGCCACCCTCAGAGGTTTGTGATGTGCTTGTCATTCAAACTGAAATATTTTATGAAAGGTTTCCTGTCATGCTCAAAATTAGGGATGGCGTTTAAGTATCAAAGAGGGCTCCCAAGCCAGCTACAACTACTGCAAGGAGAACTTTCTGTCAGGAAGAGTTCTTCAGGTAAGTCAGTTTTTCTGGCCTTGCACAGGGGGCTGGCTGAGACACCAGCCAAGTCCTAGTGCTGAAAGTGAACAACTGGTGAAGAGATTCCTTGCTTTGTGTGGTACCCATCACAGCCCTTTCTCTGTTGGTAGGAAATTGCCAGTCTGAAACGGCAATTCACAGAGCTGCTTTCTGATATTGGGTTTGTGAAGGATGGATTAAGAGCCAGAGACATTGAAAGGAAGTGGTCCCAAGGAGGCGATGGCGTGTTGGATGCCACAGGAGAAGAGGTAATTCACAGCATTTCAGTGCAGCAGAAAGATGCTGCAATTTTTCATTTGACCTGTGTGCCAGGTGGGATCTAGACTGGTGGGCTTCTTGCCACAGCCTGGCTTTGTCATCTCACACTGGCAACAGTCACCTCCTACCTGCCCTGTTCTTCCTTCCTATACATTCTATGTGCCAGCACTAGCCTCAACTGCATGAGGCCTTACATGATCAGGAAGAGCAAGCCCACACATGGAAGTGAGCTGAAACCTGCTCCTTTAAGGCAATGAAAACACCCCTGATTTGACATGTTAGTCAGGAAGTGGTGGGAAGACATGGATCTGACCTGAAAGCTTGGATTAGTGCCAACCTTATTTATGGAACCAAATTGCATTACAGAGCAGGCAGTGAAATATTTCAGCATAGTGCACAAACCTCAGAATGCAGTACCTCCAGAACCAGAGATGTCCTAGGGCTATGTGATGAGCTGATAAAGGTTTTAGTAGTTTTAAGAGCACTGGGCATTGAGACAACTTCTTCTTGTTTTCTCTTGGGTTCAAGCTTTCTCTTTGTAGCCAGGCATTTGGGATCAATTAGGTTTGGCACTAACTGCATCAAGGTAATTGGTGGTCAATTTCCCCCATTGATACTGGGGGGAATGCAGCCCAGGGCTAGCCTGAGACCTTAGGAACAGTAACTGGTTCTCCCCTATAAAGCACAGCAGAACAGCTACAGAAGTAAACCAGTTTCCAGAATTCAGTCATTCCAGAAGCATGGCTATACCTTTAGAGAATTACCTGTAGAATACCTAATCTATGCATTCATTTCACAGGCAAATTCGAATGCAGAGAACATCAAACTGATCTCAGCTATGTTGTGTGCTGCACTGTATCCCAATGTTGTCCAGGTAAAAGAATGCTTTTATTTTAATCTTTCCCTTCTGCTATGTGGCATATTCACACAGCCTGCTTTTGGTCTGGACTGACTGTGGCAGCCTGGAGCCTGGCTTAGCTTGCCAAAAGCTTGGTGCTTACAGTGTTAAGAGTCAGACAGCTTAACTCCAGTTTGTATTGCTTGAGACTGCTGCAGTTCCCACAGGCTGATCTTAGTGTCACAGAAGCCACCAGCAAATGTTCTTAAGAAGCTACTTTAATTACAGCTTTTTCAAAGTTTGAGGTTAAAAATGAACAGTCAAGGTTAGACAGTACCTGTAGTATCTGTCTCTAGTGACTTGACGTTACTACTTGAAAATTTCTGGTTTTGATAAAATTAAAGCACAGGTTAAAGAGTTTTTGTGGTACAGCAGACTTTTATAACTTTTTATCTTCCCATACAGGTGAAAAAGCCAGAGGGCAAATACCAGAAGACCAGTGCAGGAGCAGTCAAAATGCAACCAAAAGCAGAAGAGCTGAAGTTTGTTACCAAAAATGATGGTTATGTTCACATTCACCCTTCCTCTGTGAATTATCAGGTCAGGATTCTTTTTTCTTGCAAAGCATGCTCATGCTTGTGGGTCAGAGAAAGGCTGTTAAGTCACATGGGTGCATTTTATGCACCTCTGCGGTTCTTTGTAGCCACAGAAGAGGCAGGCGGGCCCCTAGTTGCCCGAGCAGGTAGGAAGAGGTGTGGCATTTCAGTGAGGATGTTGTGTATGTTCCAGACTAGGCACTTTGAGAGCCCCTACCTGGTGTATCATGAGAAAATCAAGACGAGCCGCGTGTTCATTCGGGACTGCAGCATGGTGTCAGTCTACCCCCTGGTCCTGCTTGGAGGTGGGCAGGTCCACATGCAGCTGCAGAAGGGAGAATGTGTCATTTCTCTTGATGATGGATGGATCCAGTTTGTTGCTGCCTCTCACCAGGTAAGGGAGGAATAATCCTGGGAGTGCTAGAGCGCTGCGCATGTGTTTAGAATGCAGGTGTGGTCTGTGAGCCTTTAACTCACTTCTGTGTTTTACCCTGCATGTTAGGTGGCTGAGCTGGTGAAGGAGCTACGCTGTGAACTAGACCAGCTGCTGCAGGATAAAATCAAGAATCCCAGTATGGATTTATGCATGTGCCCCCGTGGATCTCGGATCATCGCTATGATTGTAAAGCTTGTGACTACACAGTAACTTTACAATAACTTTCTATAAAGACTCACTGTTTGCTACTGCCTGAGAACAGGCCACATAAACATCAGTGTCTTGATGTATTTATTGTCCCAAAGTAAGGTGCTGATCTCTGGAAGACCAAGTTGGCGACTGTATCGCTGAGTGGGGGGGAAGGGTTTATGCTGTGTTTTTTGAGGGTTGTTTCCCCCCCCATTGTTTTCAGAGAACTTGCTTGTTGAAAGTAAGGTGGCTTACAGCACACTCAGAGTAATGGGAAAATGGCCAAGCTCCCAGGACGAACAGAAACCTCTAACAAAGAAAGCAAAATGGTTTTTCCATGAGGCTGTAGACTAGCAGTATTTTTTTTTTCTGATCACAAAAATACCTACTACCTAGCTGATTCTTGTAACAGTTGTCTGGAGACAGCATACAACATCATAAGCTGCTCCCAAACTGGCTTATACTCACTTCTACAGTTTGGCAAAGAATTAAATGAGGTAGTCAGGCCTGGCTGACCAGGGACTGATTTGCTCACAATTCAACCCATAGCCCTTAGGAAGGTGAGTGCCTTTTGATTTTTGTTAAGGGGTTCTGAAATTTATAGTTAGAGAGCATCTGTTGGCAGACCAGTTGGAGTAAGCTGTTCGTAGGATTTGTACAGGCTGTTCTGGTTACTGTAATTCTGCAGGAGAGTGTGGATGTTTCATCAAAAGCTCAGCTTTTCCAGTGCTCCCCATTCTCTGAAAAAAGCAGAACAGATGAGGTGGGCTGCTGTAGTGTATTAAAAATTAATCCTTTGGTAGACAGTACTGCTCACCATTAACCTGTGGCAGGTGGTAGTCCTCCTGTGGCCATGCACATCTGGAAAGTCCTACTTCTGGAAACTTTCAGCAAAACTCTTGCTCTGGGGAATGGACTACTACAAAAGTGTGTGGCAAAATGCCACAGTAATAATGAATTATTACTTCTCTTTCACATTGCTTGATTGCAGTGCTAAGCATTGCTTCAGCTGAGCTGCTCAACGTACTAACAATTTCAAGTAATAGCAAGTGCCTTAAGTGAAATCACTTTGCTGTAATCTGCAATAGTAAAACCAGAGTAAACACCGTCTCTTCCACCAGCCCTGCCTAGAAATAGCCTTCAGGCTGAGGAACAACGGGCAGAAGGAGGCAACTAGTTCAATTTTTAAAATAACATAGTTGAATGTAGCAGCAGTTTCACAGCAAGACACCCTTGCATGGGAAAGACATGGGTACCAAGACCAACACACTAGTGCAGTAGGATGGTCTCTGCAGGCATAATGAACTGCAAAAGACTGAATTATTCCTGTGGCTTAACTGTGGTCAACAGCAGTACCATACCCCCATAACTGTGTACCTGGACACTTGCAATTTTTTTCTGAGGTTCAGTGAAGAGCTGTCAAGCCTAAGGAACACTATGGTGAGGTATTAAAGCACTGCAGTGGCACACAGTGTTGTCAGCCATGACTTCTGTGTGAAGCAGAACTGTTAGATCTGTCATTGCTTCTGTGCACACCTGGCAGCCATGCCAATAAAGGTAAGCAAATACTGTTTCTAGTCAGGTTGACTGTAGAGTGAAATAGGAAGAGATTCCATTTTTCACCTCAGACTTCCACACACTTCCAAAGTGGTATGTTAACCATCAGGGAGAGCTGTTTTAGATGAAAACTAGGGCTCAACCAGGGTCTGTGTGACTTCTCCTGAGCTATCCTGAAGTGAGGAAGTGAGTCAATGATCTAGCAGGTAATTATGAGCAGCATCCACCCTCCTGGAGGGAGGACTTGTGAAACATCCTGGTGCCTTGCCTTGGTGATAGAACGGGCAAGTCTGGGAAGGAAACAAAGCACAAACCAATAAATACAATCAAAATATGACAAGGGATACTGCAGTGTGAACACATCCCTCATGTCTTGCCACCTGGGCTGCAGCATCATTTGTTGCTTTAGGAGGGTTTCGATACACTAGTGCCAGAACAGGCTGACTTGCCAGGAATTGCACATGCACTAACCAGACACAGTGGTTTTATTGCTTGCTCCTCTCAGCAGATATCTTCAGCCAGTGCCAGTCCATGCAACAACTCCATCTCCCCACTTCTACTAACATTTAAGAGTAAAGAGGAACCTTCACCTGCCAAATAAACAGCAAAGCAGAGCTGGAGTCTAGCTGCTGCACTCCCCAGTAGCACACTGCAAGCCCTCCACAGTGACAAGTGCCTTTGAGACAGCAGTCTCTAACACAAGGATGAAACTCATATTAAATACAAGTGACAAGTACAAAATGAAGAGGCAGTGCTACCATGAATGAATAAAAACCTCCCGGTGAGGTACGAAGAGCCACCTTCACCTCCAGCAGCAGCTGAAGACCGATTCCTTCTCCATCCTCCTTTATAAGAGCCATCTCCCTTTTAATGTTGACCAAAACCTGCCCCCTGGCAACCCTCCTCCTCTACCCCTCAATAAATACATGAATGCAGTCCCAGCCTACCCCCTTTTTCTTGTAACACTGAGTGGAAAGACTGAAAAAGAAAAGTATCACTAGAAGAGTTTTAGTCTACAGGTTTATTATGGAGTCAACTTGCTTCTGCAGTACAGAGGAAAACAAATAAATAAAAAAAAAAGGGGGAAAGCTACCCTCTCTAAAAGCCCTGTTGCATGGGGTATTGTACCATTGATGCTATAAACTGCAATGGGGCAGAGGGAAGGCAACCCCCAGCAATGTTAAGCAATGGCTTTTGGGTCAGCCTAGTTTAATGCTGTTGCTTCCAGGTCCCTCTCTTCTGCAGCCTATAATGGACTATGGTTATGATAAAATACTCATTGCAGCACTGTCAGCAAGGAAAGCCACTTACCCACTAAGCACCAATACACTAAATACAAACATGGGGAGGCAAAGAGGAAAGCCAGAACAAGACAAACACATTCTGTAGTACACAAGAAGTCTCTGAAGTCATGAATAAGGACTCACTGTCATTCTTTTAATACCTGGACAGCTTATAAAGCAAAAGTGACTGAAGTTATTCTGAAAACCTAGGGTTGGGTACCAAGCACAACTGCAGTGATTTACTCAAGCAGCAGAGTTTCAACCCACTGCTGACTAACTAGAAGCTCCAAAAGAATTTTGTTCCTCACAGCCTGTAAGACACTGCAATATAGGCCAGAACATACTACAAGGAAGACTTAAATCAAAATCATATGGCTGTCTGATTTCCTTATTAGTCTGGTAATAGCCGTATCATCTGCAAAGACAACCCAAACTACCAAATACATTACACTAGTTTATCATACTTGTATTAAATCCTTCAGTAATGTATACGTGGCAAGATGGGAACAATCTATGTACAGGCAGCTACAGTCCAGTTTCTCAAAGCAACAACTAATCAGGACAGCAGCAGGTCCCTTAGTTACACTTTGCTGCCAAAGGAGAGGATGTGGCCAGGCAGTTCAGGTCAGACAAGTGACAAGACATGAGCTCTTGATTCCCCAAATGTACTACTACTTAAGCATGATCTGCAGGTTCTGCTTGTGACCTTCAATGAAAAAGCTTTAATTTCCTAAAAAGACCATCAAATGCACCAGAACTGCCAATTCATTGTACGTTTCACAAAAAAAGTATTACTATCTGGACAACCAGGACATAAAAATAACATTTCTAAAAATATGTACTTCAACAGTTTACATTCCAGAAGTATTCCAAATACCTTCAGGTGAGAAGGTCCTTTAATCTACAGGACAGACAGACCAGCTTTCACACATTCTTTGATTACTTAATCTGTTAATGCCCTCTGTAGACATTTCTGTAATTCAAATCATCCCGTGCACAAGCACCTCCAGACAGGTTATCGGCTTCACTGAGCTTTGAGGAGGTGCAAATAAAAATATAAGGTACAGGTCACCATAACATTCAAGTCTGAATAGTAAGAATGACAGCTGGTACTTCACACTAAGCAGTGCTGTGTAGGAAAAAAGTCCCACAACAGGCACACAACTGCAGGACAGCCACCATCAGGCTGCTGCACTAGCCTCAGTTCACAAAGGCCTGTAAAGGCCTGCCTCCTGCTTGTCACCATAACAACACCTGACCTGCTCCATGCTACCAAATATTAACAGAAACCACTGGGTTATCACAAAATATTTCTTAGTTAGAAATGCACAGTTTATTTCAATGCACCAATAAAAAAAGCCCAGTATTTCCAGATCACAGAACGTTAACACAACAAAAGAGTTTTGAAGTCTACTAAGACTTTGAAAAGATCCAGATTCATGCCAATCGTTAGTCAATAGAAACAGCCTTCTAGGACTAAGCCCTTACATTTATAAAGACACCACAAAATCCCTTATAATAATGTAAACAAAATAAATTTTCTTCTTAAACTTTTTAAATTTCAATCCATTCTTTCAGGACTTGCACTGCTTCAAGGGCTTCCTGATGGTGAATGACTGAAAGGGAAAGAAAAAGATTAACAGCAACTCCTACAGCAAAACCAACAGAAACTTTCTGTGCTACCCCTGATCTGCTCTGCTCAGGAGCCCCTCCCCCCACCTCATAATACCCCTCCCCACACTGTTTTCATATACAGTTCATTAATAATGAGAAATGTGTTAAATTATACACCTTTGTAAGTAACAACTGCTTTAGCTTGAAAAGACTAGCAAAATAAGAAACGTGAGCTGATGTAGGTAGGCAAGACATTGAGCCTGCTAAGAAAGCACCTTGGAGCCCACGATACACCTCTGCAGAGGAATTTTTACTCTGCCATAATTTGCAGAGTTTCAGTTTGTGGCTAGTCATGAGGCACTATGTAAATCCCAGCACATACTTCTCTGGTTACATAGAAAAACTTGCTTCTTATTTCACAGTCCACAGCAAAGCTTGGCAGCTGTGCAACTGAACGAGAGCCAGCTGTGAGAAGCCACCAGCAAGAATTTAATACTACTACATACTCACAGCTTGCTAGCTCACACTGCATTACTCACTTCTTCCACAGATTCTAAATTCCTCAGGAACTCTGGAAGAGTTTATTATAATTTGTCCACATTTTCTGTTGTCCTTTAAAATTTCATTAAAGTAGGTACCTTAGAGTTGTTACGACTTTCTGACTACCAGGAGTAGAAAGTGCCAATAAAGCTTCCACCTTTTCATAGTAGGAAGCACTCATAACAATTCATACTTAACAAATTAAAACATGTAAAAAACCCAAGCTTTTATCCTTGCACACGTTAACGTCTGCAGCAACTCCACTCCAGACACTAGTTATATGTAAATGTATGGAACACTCCAATTTTAACATACTCCTACCTTCTCTTTGGAGACGGTGATCTGGACTTTGAGCGACTGTTAAAAAAACAAACCAAACCAAAATAATCAATGTGGTAAACTTACATACATTCAGTAACTACTTTTGACCATTCAAAAAAAGTAAGAACAGTTTGATGTTGTTAAATACATTAAAAGGCAACACCCTTAATACTGCTGATAGCAATTATACCAAATTACTTTAAGCAAGAAGCTGCAGTTGAGAAAGAAAACTGCGGAAAGTTGGAGCCTTCAGGCAGAGAGCAACACAGCTTCAAAATAGCAATAAAATGATCACAGTAATCCTACAAAGCAGGATCAGTGAATCAGGTAAAGGAGAGTCAGGAAGACCAAGAACTAGACTGTTGAGAACAAAGGCAGGGAAATCTATATCCCAGATCCTGTCAAAAATACTTTTTGCCACATTTACAGGTTAAGCAAAAACTTTTATCTATGACCTTTCTGGGAAAATTGCCTACTATCCCACAGAAATCAGCTATGAAAATACATTTAAATAATGTATAAAAATGTTTTTAAACCAGCTATTAAAAAAACCAAAGAAACACAGGGGGAAAAAAACCAAACCAAAACAAAGACAACAAACCCAGAACTCTTCCACATGCAACTGAAATACTGGCCCAAGCAGAGATTTTTTAATTATGACCAAAAAACAACAAAAAAACAACCACCTGAGTGCTAGTTGCACTTATACGCTCACCTTTTAGCAGGTAAGCCAGATTTAGATCTACCATGGGACCCAGACCTACAACAGGAGAAAAATAAAGCTCAGCAAAACAGCCACTGGGCATGCACATACAGTGAAAGTTATCTAAACCAGCAACAGCAAGTTCATACTACATCGCATGACAAACCAGAGAGGAAGGCTCTGCTTCTGCAGGCTTTTCTAGTGACTTTTCAGAAGAATCCTTTAGGTCTTATTCCAGAGACCCCACTTATCAGAAGACTAGAGTACAAGCACAAGAAGTACCCCAAGCTTCAGCTACCACTTTCATAAAACAGAAGAGCTTGTACGAGGTTCCCAGACTTTTCCTCTCCACTTGCAAGTATCCCTTCCATAAAGGGAAGAACGGTTTCAAGTGTCATCTTAGAAAAATTTTTAACACATTAGGAGCCTGGAATCAGCCACAGGGAAGGTGACAGTTCTGAAGAGTTCATGCATTCTTCAGATCAAGTTTCCAGTGGCACTTTTATTCAAGTATAACATAGCTTTTTCATTAGTTATCCCAAAAGAAACAGCATTCCAGTTTTCTCCTTGGTATCCATCTACTAGTGTGTAAACTACTCCCACTTCATTTCAATTCAATTCAGTTCAATTATAATCTACTCTAACAGTGAGACTTCCCTCCCATATTTATTATGTTACTTCACCAACTCAAGTATATGTTGTTACTTAGAAAACATCTGTCCTCCTAGAGCATCAGAAATCAGGCATGTTGAACTACTGAACATCAGAAAGTCCAGTGTTCAAGACAGTCAGTTGCTTAATAGACCTGGCCAAAAAAGTATGGAACTTCTGTTTTCTCAGAACTGTTTCAAAAGACAATCAAAATTCACCTGGCCTATTAACTTAGGAAAATACTACCTGCACACTGTTGGCATAAGTTAACCAAAGAGTTACAATTTCAAAGCAGTGGCGTGTAACTATGCTGAGCCACATCTACCACAGTTTTTTAACACAATAACCAGTAACTTTGTTACTGTACCAACAGGATGCAGTTGATTGGAACTACCTAGACCTTGCATCTTGTAGCATGAGCATGACCGCCTTTGGTAAGGAATCCAGTAAGGCAGCACACAAGAGCATCATCTTACTACAAGAACTGCTGGCAAAGCCATCTTCTGAGAGGCACACAAACAAGGCAGAACTGAAAATCAAAAGCTCCAGAAGCAGCACCAGTAACATACTAACTAGTGTTTTGCTGTAATAGCAGAGGACCAGCACTGGCTAATACAGAAGAGTTTCCCCAACACTTCCTCAACTCCAGTCTTGAACTGCGACTTTTCACACTGCAACTGCAGACCCATGCAAAGTCAGCATTCCTCAGAAATGTCGTTACAGCACTCAAGTCTTTCAGGCAGGAAAATTACGGTCTCAGAAGTCACCAAGCAACATCAGCAGCATCTAGACTTTTCCACAGTTACATCACATAATTTGAGTCTGGCTAGTTATCTCCTCCATTACTGGTCTGTATGAATAGTAAGTCAGCACAGCCCTAGTAATCATCATCCCCTTAAAGGCTCAATGTGCAATGTCCTAAAATAGCAGACAGACCCCTAACACACATTTACCTTTCTCTATTCTAATGCAAAAGACTTCTTCCAACTTAGCAGCTCTTCCCCATCGTATTTTTATCCTACTCTTTCATCCTTTTTCCAACTAAGAAGTAGAATAAAGGATAGAGGAAAACAATGCAGCAGCACTTATTCTATATTCATTCTCCTAAATTTCCATTTCAGCATGGAAAACATCCAGACCCACAAAACCAGAGCTCCATGTCAGAGAAGTCCTTCAAAACACTACCTGTGCCAAATGGACTCACAGTCCTGTTCATTCAGCTCTCCATACCTTTGAAGTCAAGCGTCCTACACCACATAATGCAATTCTTAGCACTACTAATTTGATCTCAAAACTGGAACTGACAAAGCGGAAAAGCTGAAAGCAGGATTTCAGTCAATAGCAGCACAACCTTTTCATCGCTTTTCACACACCCCCAGCATCTGAGATTTGTGAATAAACATGCCAAGAAAAAATTAAGAATCATTGAGAAGCAATTAAGAAGGTCAAGTATTATCTACATGCATAGGGCATTAATAAGTTTTCATAACTGCTCTCCACACACCTTAAATCATGTATATGCATTTTTTTTTGTTACATATATGTAGACTACATATAGTGGCCACAGACAAAAGTAAACTGATGTTTGTTACGAGAAATCAAGCACAACTTCCAACTGCGACAGGCATAAATTTCTTACAAGTTACAGATACATATATGTTTATATATATAAAAAATACATATTTAGATTATAACTTTCAGTACTAATACTGCTATCCTGTGCAACCTTCCAGCCAAACTGCCCTGAGGAAGAAAACACAAAAAAAAATCTCCAAAACTATTATGGGTTTGAATTGAAGAAAGTATCATACCTGCTTCGAGGCCATACAACAGATCGGGATCTTGAGCGTGACCTGGACCTAGATCTAGGAAAAAACAGAGAAAGTTAACTACTACATAGTAGATTCATACAGCTGAGACAGTACTCTTTGAATTTATGATACAGAGCTCTGAGAATTTTACTGAAACTATTGGTTTTGCAGAAGTAACTAGTATTAATAGGAAGTTGTAATACACTTGACCAGTACTACCATCCTCTTTAAGAAATCCCACCATTCTAGTTGAATAAGCATAATTACTCCCTGTATTCTTGAAGCAGGAGGAAACCTTAACCACAGATCAAGTACAGTATTCAGTACTTGTACAGTACACAGTACTTTGTTACTGTATAAAAACAGCAGTTGCAAAATTGCATAGGAATTTTTAACATCTAAGAAAGCCTTAAGATTAGCTCTCAGGAATGTAACACCATGAAGGTACCTACAAACAAACTCACTGCAAATGTTAATTGTCAGAATCAACACAAAGTCCACAACATTGTCTGTGTTTATTAAAAAACACATACCTTGATCTCCTTAAGGAACCAGACCGAGATCTGCGGGGTGAAAATGATCTATACCTGCGAGGAGAGATTGACCTGGACCTGCGGTAGGAAGCTGACCTTGATCTATGAAGCAAATAGAAAAAGACAAGCAAAATAACTGCAATGCACTCTTCATAAGGATCACAGAAAACTGCGGAAAAGAGGGAGGAGAAAGAAAAAAAGAAAAAATAATGAAAGAGAGACCCCTACCTCCTACCACGACTCCGACTGCGCGACCGAGAATACCTTCTTCCTCGGGACCTTGACCGAGATCTAGACCGGGACCTGGGTTGAGGTTACAGAAAACAGTTATCAGGAAACAGCTGCAGCAAACAGTGCATGTGAGGCCCTGCTGAAGTCAAAACTGATTTCAGACAACTAAAAAGGAAAACAAAAAAGAAGAAAAAAACAAACCAAACAAAAACCATAAGAAAACCCCAAAAAAACCAACACAAACACACCACTAGCATCTGTCAGTTGGAAAAAATCTCTGGGCCTACTTGTCTTGAGCATTTTACTACCTAGAAAAATGTTAAAAAGCTGAATGACATTTCAGAATTACATTAGAATAGAAAACACTGTAATGCGTAGTTAAAATAAACCTTGCAAGTTTGCAGGTCGACCCTCTTTGGCCCAAGGTCTAGCAGATCTAGACGATCTAGAAGTATCTATAGCCGATCGCTGCATCTAGGTGTTCTCTTCAATCTAACGACGATCAAACTGACAGCCCAATGAGCCAGGGTGAGGCTTGATTGACGCAAGAAGATTTTTCTAGGTGGGAATGTGGTCAATCTGGTGTTCCTCTTTCTAAACCGGAGGGGGGCCCCAATTGAAAGCCAAATTTACTGTTACGGCGATCACCGTCTCAAATTTTCTGCCCTTAAGAATAAGGTGAAGCTACGTGTAGATGGCTCGAGGGGATCTGGCCTCTTATGCTGATCACCTCAAGGTCTAGGAGGATCTTAAGTGTCGGATTTGCAAGGCGCCTCAGCATGAAATCTTAAGGCTCGTGACATTCTGAATCAAGGCGACTGACTCAAACGAAGAAACCTGAAAGGTTTTGACCAGGTTGATTATTAAGATATTAACATTATATATGTATTAGCAAAAAAAAAATTTGTGATATACACCTGTTGACTTACAACATTAGAGTTAAAACTGGCGTAGCATTCTGTTCTCTGCTACACAAAAGTGAACTGGCAAAACAACCCAGCTGCTCCAGCCCCACACCTACCTGCTCCTCCTGCTCCTCCGACTATAGCGGTGACAATCATAAGCGTAGTGGCCTTTCTCGCCACACTCATAGCATCTGTCGTTGGGGTCAAAGGGGCGCCGTGCAGGAGGCCTGTCGTAGCGGGAGCGACGGGGCATCCCTGTCGACACTTCCACTCTCACCCTGGAGCCACATATTATCCTGCAAGAAACAGCATGTATTAATCAGAGGAATCGTTTTCTTTCCTGTGCTTGCTACACACAGAACAAACAGCAACGACTGGTGAAGGCTGAGGAGGCCAAAAAACTGCAGCCAGAGCAATCAAGAAGGGTATAGACATGCACGTACTTCCCATCGAGACCGAGCACAGCATCTTCAGCATCCCTCGGGTCTTCAAACTCGACGAAGGCGAACCCCGGCGGGTTCCTCGCGATCCACACGGTTCTCAGGGGCCCGTAGTAGCTGAAGGCTCTCTCCAGCTCGCCTTTGCCGGCGCCCGTGCCCAGGTTCCCCACGTACACCTTGGTCTCTGCCGGGAGGGGGGCAGGGTGTCAGGGCCGGCGCCGCCACCCG